ACACTAATGTTTATGTAAATTTAAATGCTACAAATTCATGTAATATTTACTCTCAACATTATCTAGTAAAAGTTATTAAGAATATAGTTAAAGATCTGTAAATAAATCAGGTAAATTTTACTTAATTTGATCAAGTATATGTTACAAGATTTAATTGAGCAAATTAAGTAAAATTTACTTGATTTATTCACAAATCTTTAACTATATTCTTAATAACTTTTACTAGATAATGATGAGAGTAAATATTACATGAATTTGTAGCATTTAAATTTACATAACAAACGTTAGTGCGAACCGTTTACAAGATTTTCTCTAGTAAATCTTACAAGTTATTTTTTACAGCGTAGAGGGACCGAAATGCAATAGGAAGTGACATGTTGTCCTGTACTTACTGGGCATCTTCCAGTTACACACTGTGTCAAAATACAGCTCTAGACCTCTTAAGACAGGTTGGAGATACCTGCGACAAACTGTACATGGAACCATTTTGATAGAAAGTTTGTTGGGCCAATTATTTGAATATGCCAAAAAAGCTGCAAGCTTCAGCAATTCAAGAGAGGAAAACAAGAAACCCTGCAAACAATGCAAGACAATCTGAAGATTCCCTCGCAAATGCTGTTGGCCCTCTGTCTCAGTTTAGTAAAATACTAAATTTCCATTACATTATCTATTATGGCACAAAGAATGTTTAGTTTCATGTTTATTTAACATCTCTTCACCTGCATCCTTGGCCCATCTGAGGATGGAGGTGACCTCGTTGCCCTGGGTGGTGTTGCACTGGAAGCGAACTGCAGCTGCGCTCACGCCCACCGTGCCCTCATTGGCTTTAACTCCACAGAGGAAAGCTGTGGCTGTTCCTGCACTGTCTGGCACCTGTGCATTAGTGTTGTACGTCTGCAGGGACACGAGACGTCAACACTGACATTCAATATTACTATGATAAAAAAATATACGTTCATGCAGAACACTGAGCAAAAAATGGAACGATTGCTATAATAAGCAGCATGAGTTCAACTTCTAAAGCTTTATAACTTCACTTCTGTTGGTGGAGCTGTAAGCCACTAACCAGTTCATTAATAATCAAGTGTATTTTTAATTAGGCCTTATTCATAATAACTATTTAATATGCAATTATTGCACCAATTATTACATTTATAATGTATAAATAAAAAGAATGAAGTAATACGCATTCAGTAACGTATTATTACCAAACTAAATGAGTTTTTGTTGCTTTGTTTTTTCATCATGCACACCTAATACTTGTGTTTTGAACTGTTAATCAAAACTACATAGTACAGTCATGGCCAAAAGTTTTGAGAATGATTCAAATGTTAATTTTTACAAAGTCTACTGCTTCAGTTTTTATAATGGCAATTTGCATATATATATACAGTACTCCAGAATGTTATAAAGAGTGATCAGCTTAACAGCAATTAATTGCAAAGTCAATTTTTGCCTAGAAAATGAACTTCAAGTAGAGAAGTTCCATTGTTGCCAAAAAGGCTCCAGGGCGCCAGAGAAAGACCAGCAAGCGCCAGGACCGTCTCTTAAAAGTGTTTCAGCTGCAGGATCGGGCTACCAGCAGTGCAGAGCTTGCTCAGGAATGGCAGCAGGCAGGTGTGAGTGCATCTGCACGCACTGTGAGGCGGAGACTCTTGGAGCAAGGCCTGGTCTCAAGGAGGGCAGCAAAGAAGCCACTTCTCTCCAGGAAAAACATCAGGGACAGACTGATATTCTGCAAAAGGTACAGGGAGTGGACTGCTGAGGACTGGGGTAAAGTCATTTTCTCTGATGAATCCCCTTTCCGATTGTTTAGGACATCTGGAAAACAGCTTGTTCGGAGAAGACGAGGTGAGCGCTGCCACCAGTCTTGTCTCATGCCAACTGTAAAGCATCCTGAAACCATTCATGTGTGGGGTTGCTTCTCAGCCAAGGGAGTCGGCTCTCTCACAGTCTTGCCTAAAAACACAGCTATGAATAAAGAATGGTACCAGAATGTCCTCCGAGAGCAACTTCTCCCAACCGTCCAAGAGCAGTTTGGTGATGAACAATGCCTTTTCCAGCATGATGGAGCACCTTGCCATAAAGCAAAGGTGATAACTGGCTCAGGGAACAAAACAGAGATATTGGGTCCATGGTCTGGAA